GCTTTTCTAGGCACCCTTCTACAACCCGTAGGTCCTGGTTTACCCCTTGTCGACCCGACGACGTTGAATTTTAAAACATCTCCACCCGGACAAGACTAGTGCACTCCCACTCTTAGATTCGAGATTACCACGCATCAATTCAACGCCATTGAACTTTAATACAGCCTTCAATTGTTTTGACCCAAATAGTGTCCTTAATTTGATCAGAAATAAAATTTCCTCACAAGCCCAGTCTTTCTCATTGAACACCGACTCATTCCCAGCTAGCCATAATGCCCAAAAAGTTTCACCACACCCAGACAGCTACCCTTTTCCAGATCATGATAGATAGCTATTTCATATTGATATAACACATCCACCACCTTAAATCGAAAGCACAGATGTTAAATCCCTCTTCAAAGAACACTGCACCAGACATTCCAAGAGAAAAAATATGACACCAAAATGTGTACATAGCCCTCCTCCTTTCATTTACACCAGATACATTCCTCAAATATAACTCCTCTAGACCTCATATTAACTTTTACGAGGGATACTATATTTGCAAGCAAGCCAAAGCAAATTTTGCATTTTTGGAGGATTTCCAAAAATATGATAAACGAATCTGACTGTCCGAATTGATATGCTGACTGCCCTGAAAGTTCACCAATTGTTTAACAGACGATAGCCCCTTCTATCAAGTTCCCATAATCTTTTCTTCTCTTTGACCACCTAAGCGTCTTTGCAAGGAATACCCCTTCAATATTGTCAAAAGAGCACCAGATTTGCCATTAGCAGCGCAGAAATCACAATCAAAATTGCTAGAAGGTCTAATCTTCTTAATTATTCTAAAATCACAAGTCTCCAATTTGGTTTCTTGCTAGAGATCCATCTCAAGATTCGACTTCTTGAGCAATCCTATCTTTTTTCTTCCGGACCCTTACCTTCAAAATTATTTAAAATAAAACTCTCATACACCAAATTCCGTGAGACTCCGCTATAATTCATCAAATATAAACAGAGAAACAGTGAGGATTTGAAGTTATCCAGCCCTTAGTTATCTGATATTGCCTCTCGCTTCCTCCTCCATCATCTTCAGCCTTCTAATTATCACTTCATCATTCCCCATAAAAGAAATACCAAGCTGCTTCGCCACTTCCCAAGTCGCTCAGGTTCCTTCAACAAATCCTTTTCTTTTTCTCCTTCACATATTACCCTTAACCGATTTAAAAAATCCCCATCCGGGATTGAGCCATTTGTGATCGGTGATCCCCCATCCTTCCTTTTGCTTGTTCGAGCTCCTTTCTTGCCCTTCTTCACTATCTTCTTTCCTCTCTTGTTAACTTTGCCTAGCAACTGGTCTTCTATATCCTCATAGAACCTCCATTTTATCTCTCTACTCTAAGTTGCTCTCACTCTTTCCCCTGTTCATGTTCTTCTGTTTCAGCCACAGAAGAGATTATATTATCTACCTCAATATTAGGTCCTGTCACCCCATATTTTTCCATGCCCAAGACCTTATTTCCATGCCCACCTGAGGCCTATTTTTATGACACTCTGAAGTCCGTTCCACTTCATTACCCATCTCTGTACATCCTACTTTTTTATTTAAACTTTCTTTGTCGGAGATTGGGAGCATCCCCCAATCTCTTTTGACCTTGTTTCATACATTATGTCGGCTTCTCTTTCTCCTTGACTATTCTCTTTTCAATATCTTTTACTTTAGTCGTTTTTCCATTAATGTCCCCAACAGCCTCTTCTCTTTCTTTTGTCACCTTCATCATTACTAGCACTTGTCTGTTCAGCTTCCACGACTTCAACTTTCTCATCCAAGGCTTTTTTGTTACTGGCTTCTTCTAATACCTGATTCTATATGCTCTCCCATGGATGTAAATGCTTAACTTTTGATTCAATTTTTGATACTTTAATTGGGTATAAAATATCTCTAACCTGTAACTGGACAATCTCTTCAATTTCCTCCAAGAAGTTAGTCATAATCCGAATATACCCTTTATCAAAACACTGAAACTAAGATATATTATCTTGCATGCAGATAAACTCCCCCAGCATCCTACGATATTTTGGAATGTCTCCAAGCTCCATGCATGAATGGGGACTCCTAAGCACATTAACCAAGCATTTTTACTAGGCAAACTTATTTTCTCAGACCAAATTTCAATTTTGTCAAGTCATATGTTGAATCCATCCTAATATTCTCTTTCACTTTCTTTAAATTTCTCAAAATTGTCAAAGGTAACCAATAAGGATTGACCAGAAAGTTTGCTTACTCCAACACCATTCCTTCCATCATTCCAAATTAAGTCTTAATTTTCTTCTACCTCTAACAAATCTCTGTATCAGCCCATAATACTTCTTTTGAGCCAATGTAATTTATCTTCATCTATCATACCTAAGTATTGTTTCTCTTCTCCCTTTTCTTAAGCTTGGCTCTAAACCTCTATTTCTTTAGACGACAAACCCTTCCAACTAGAAGAAGAAGATAATCCGCTCTTCTTTCCTTCCATCAGAACCTAAATATAGGATACAGATTGCCAGTCGCATTTACTTCCTGATTCTTATCCAATGTTGCCTGGTTATCCTTATGAGGTTCCTTGTATACTTCCTCCATTCCACCATCGTTACTATTATTATATCTTTTTGCTCTTTTCCAGAAGGATCTTCTAGGATTAAACCTAGTGAGATTCACTCCAATCTTTTTATCCAGTAGCCAACTTCCATTCAAATTTGACACAGCCCTTCTTGTTCGTACATCGATGCATAGCGCACAAATCCTATTCTCATACATTTCTTCCTTTTTTTTCGGGGAATGAACACGTCACAACTTTCCATATTTTTCGCAAATTCTTTCCAGCCATCTCCAGTGAAACTTTTGTGGAATATTATTTACGAAGAAGGTTACAACTGTCTTCTGCTCCAGTCGACTTCTAGAAAACGCCTTACCATTACCCCCACTCAAAAAATGAGGTATCTGCAATATCAAATGTTCATATGGAAATGATTAGTTTTAATTTGTTATATATAATACACATAAAATTTGATGGTTAATGGAGCTAGAGCTTAACTCCGTTTATACAACTACTCTTAAGAAATGGCATCTCTAGTTCCGGGTTCAAATCGTAGCATTTGTAACTTTCTCAACCTCCTTAAACAATTTGGCTAGTTTAAATTCTCAAAACCCTTTGCTGAAAAGCCTAGATCCCAGTTTTAAATTCAAAACTTCTGCTACCCACCTCCTTTATTTGTTGCCATCCAGAACCCTAAAACCACCTTTGAATCCTTTCTCCGCTTTACTCTGCCAACTCCAAATATCAAAGAAACTGAAAAATCCCATCTTGCGAAACCTTAAAGAAAACCTTACTTTTCTATTTTTCTGGGTATCGTGGTTGACTGATATTTGTTGAATGTTCTGTATTTATTCCTTCAGTTGTTGTGTTTACTTTGTTGTTAATGAGTTGCTTTATAAGAGTTTTCTTGCAAAAAATCTAGGTTTCTTTAAAAGAATTTTTTTGAAGTTCTGCCTTCGAAGATCCAATTCTTATTTGTTAATTATTTATTTATTTGCTCCAAGCCTTTCCAAATTTAAAATTTCTTCGTTTTCCTTTATTTTTCTTTGATTTTCAAATATTCAATCTTTCTAAAACATTTTAATCCAATTCTTCCCTATTTTTCAAAGTTTTTCAGATTTTTTTTATTTTCTATTTTTTCTATCTTTTGTTTTCTAATTTTTACAAATAAATATTAAAATAAAAAGAAGTAAAACAAAAGTAAATGAAAAGAAGAAAATAAAATAAATATACAAATCAAATTTTGTTGGGCTTGAAGCCCAATTAACAATACAAGGATTCGAGGCCCGATAAAAAATTACGGGACCCAATTAATAATTCAAAAGCTCAAAAGCAAATTTTTTATTTAAAAAATTGGATTTAAAAAATGACTTAATTTGGATAAAGTCCACATCTAAATTTAACTTGAACTTGAATCGGCACTGATTCAAATTAAATCCAACAAGATAATTAAATTAATAATTGAACTCGATTTAATTAAAATTTGCCTTAAGAAATCTTTTGAAAGACTCTAGATAAGATGTGGTTTATACAATACTAAATGTTCATGTGGAAATGATAAGATTTAGTTTTAATTTATTACATATATATAAAACATATAAATTTGATGGCCAATGAAACATAAAGCTTAATTCAGTTGATTTATACAATCACTCTTAAAAGATTATATCTCTAATTTTAAATTTAAATTTTAATACTTATAACATTTCCTTTTATTTCCAAATTGAGACATTGTTTATAAAAAAAATTGATGGCTAATACAGTAATGCTGGATGGATGAACATACATCGTTGCAAATCTCCATTTTATTGCTGGATAAAACAGCAATTCAATATTTCCATCCACGATCTCATACCATATAAATTTATCTGAATCTTTTTTTCTAAAGATTTATTTAAAACATATAGTCATTGCATTGCTAGAGTATCCTATTTAACGAAAAACCGAAAATACTTCTTAGAGTAAAGATTTTAATTCAAGAAAATATTACTACAATTTTACTTGCTAAAATAATTGAAAATAAAATGAGCGAAATGTTGTTTTATAACTAATTGAACTTTTATTAAAAGTTCATCAGTGTTCATCTTTTAGGATGACATGTTAAAAACTTCAATTTTCTTGTATTGCAAAAATATCACTTAAGCAACATGCTAATGGAACATAGTGACCTGCCGGTGGACTGTAGGATTTTTAATTTTAATGTTAAAGTTTCAAATTCTTATAGTATCAAGTATAAAAAAAAAAATGGAAATAGTAACTGTTTGTAGAGTGTTGATTTTTTAGTTTTAATGATAAAGATTCAACATGAAGTACTAAAAAAAAAAAACATAAATTACAGTGTAGAATATATATATATATATATATTCAGAATATAGAGGAGTAAAATGAACATTTTGTTTATAATATGGTTTTTTCAATATTTGACAGGCAAAGGTAATGGCAGACCTTGTTTCCGCTGGTATAAACGAAATACTGAGGAGTATGCCGCCAAAGTTAGACAAGGCTTGCATTTTCAAGGTACCTAATTTTCTTCGTCAGGTAAATCAAAAGGCCTACGAACCACAGGTACTTGCAATCGGTCCGTATCATGACCATGGTAGCGATCACTTCAAAGCAATGGAAGCGCATAAGATTCACTATCTTCAAATGCTCCTTAATGAAAGGGAGGAGAATGATGTTTCCAAGTATGTTACCAAAATGAGAGAATTAGAAGAAAGAGCTCGCCAATGTTATGCGGAACCTGTAAGTCTTGGCACAGATGATTTTGTTAAAATGATGCTCCTTGATGGCTGTTTTATTGTTCAGCTAATTCGCATGAAATCAGACAGAAAACTGAGGGATCCTAATGACTTCATCTTCAAGGTCGGAAGTTTTTCTAACACCGTCTGTTTGGATATGCTATTAGTTGAAAATCAACTTCCTTTCTTTGTTCTTTGGGAATTGTTCAGTATGATTGAGATTTGTGGTCAAGATTTATTCAAGAAAAAGGTTTTCGAGCTCTTCAGCATTATATTTCCACGAAAACAGCGCCCAATAGGATATTGGAAGTCTATTGAAGAAACCCATCATCTGTTAGACTTCAAACATTACTGCATGTATCATGATCCCACCAACTCCTACAAAAAAATGAAACAAAGCTATCCTCCTTGGAATTTAATACGTTGTGCCACGGTGCTCGATGAGGCTGGAATGAAGTTCAAAATGGACGAGGGAAATAGCTTGTTCGATATAAGGTTTGGACATGGGACTATTAAAATCCCTCTCGTCATTGTAGAAGACGGTACGGAATGTCTCTTCCGAAATCTCATTGCCTTTGAGCAGCTCCACCCATACGCAACTCTACATCATGTCACTGATTTGATTGTATTTATGGACTTCCTTATTGACACTGCAAAAGATGTGGAAATACTTCGTCAACATGGAATCCTTCAGAACATGTTGGGTGACAACGGAGAAGTTGCCACCATGTTTAATAGACTTGGAAAGCAGGTCGTTGTGTCTCCTGATTTCTGCTACGGTCAAGTACTCAACCAAATGAACGAGTATTGCGATAGATACCGACGTTGGAATAAATTTATTGCTTACTTGAAGCGTAATTATTTTAACAGTCCATGGGCGCCACTCGTTTCCGTTGTAGCTGCTTTTGTACTTCTCCTACTTGCCGTGCTGCAAACTTTGTATTCTATTCTCTCCTACACAAAACAAGATGTCCAGCAATATTGATGTATGCTCGCTTATGTATATTATGTCCTATCTAAATAATGGAGTTCCGATTCCAACTGGAAACTCGGAACCAAAATTTGTCCGGCTTGGAGTAACCTTGTTCTGTACTCCATTTCCAAGCCTTTGTTTGTAGTGCTTGATGAAGTTTCTTGTTTGAAATTTCTATTGTATTTGGACTTGTTACTACTGTATAACACAACTTGTCTCCAGTAATATCGACTCATTGCCCATTAGAAATGCAGAAAATTTTAATCCTTGTATATATGCTTTGAAAACAAAATTCACGAAAAAATTGTCCAGCTCTCAAACCCAACCCAAACTCAGGAAAAATTTGTCATAACCGGCCGCAACCCAATCCAACTTGCTCAATTGCCATATCTATTTGAAAAAGGATTTTTTTTTTTTCCTACTTTGATGCTTGACCTTGCCAGCAATTAAACTTGGCTGAGCCTATTTCCATTTGCATTGAAGAAGTAAAAAAGAATGTGTAGCAATTGGATCAGTACTCTTTAAACTAAAACAAAACAGAAGCAAGGCAGCATTACTTAAGCCACCATAATTCAAACCAAAGATAAATAAATTTGACTTCTCATTACATAATATATAGCAAACCATATGCATTCACAATTAATCCACCAGCAATCACAACCAGTTCCCAAACTCATTTATCACCCTATTCTTTTTTGGACACTTTTTCCTCAGCAATAAGGTTCCCACAAACATGGAAGTTCCAATGATCGAAGTACCAAAACACAAAACCAAATCACTAAGACAGAAAATGGGGCATAACCTTGCTCTAAAAGAATGCTACGCCAATGACATATCCTAATGAACCAACAGGTATCCTGCATCTACCTATATGAATCTGGACGCTTCAATTTGCTTTGGACAACAGCCTCAATCTTCTCCATAACAGCCGGAGTCAGTAACGGGATTACATCAAGTGCCTTCATGTTCTCTTGAATCTGAACGGGAAAAACAAAAGTTACTGTTTAGTTGCATGTAAACAGACGAGCAGTAGCAGTCTTGAAAATAATCAAATCCTATTGCACCCTTTAAAAGCCAAGTAAAAGTTAAGAACCAAATACACTTGAATCTCAATGATACAAAAAAACTTATGATTTAGTTTGATTACAGTTACAAACAGTAAATAAACACTTATAATATCCACGCAAACACCAAGAAAATAAAATTAGAACTTCACGAGAATTTGAAGATAAAAGTGCATCAAACTGCATTATTGGAGTGTATTGTAGAACCAGTAAACACACTTCCAAAGTTTTTTCAAAATGATACTCAAGAAGCTCACTAATAACAGTTGCCATATTAATGATGCACCTTTATATGCACTTGTTGCTTCTTTAGATTTATAAAGGATATTTTATCAATCATTTAGCTAATTGATCATTTTTAGATTAGCAAACGTTAATCAGTTATTCATTACTTGCAAATTCGGTTAAATGTTACGTATATTAGCGTCACAGAAACAATGCCACGGCCGTATTTTTATTTTTTCTCAAGTAACCTCTGATGGTTTCAATGTCTTGCATACTGACAACAGTCAACTATATAAAAAATTAACAATGTCATTATTGATTTCTATGTTGCACTCTTTTCGTTTCCAAGGACATTAGACTCATAGCTTCACCTTCAAGTTCATCTTACTTACTCCATAAGATTTCTCTCTACAACTCTCCTTTCCAAACACAAAAAAGAAAGACAAAAAGTGGCATGCATCGTTACCTTCAACATGCGTTCCCAAATTGCCACTAGAACAATGCATGGTTGGCAAAGTTCACCTCATTCTACAGGAATTGGGGGGCTAAATCAATGATTTCTTTAATATTGAAACTTACAACAAATAGCTTAGCCAACTGTAACTAACTTGCCATAGATGAACTATCCATTAATTAAATGAAGCAAGAACCCAAAACATGGTCGACAAAAACAGAACTACCATTATGACTTTCTCAAAGTTGTAGACAGATGAACAATGAAAACATAAATATATATTTGTTCAGAAATTTGAAAGAAGTTTTTAACTTAAAAGAATGCATTTGCTTGTAATATATGCATGTTTGTTTAGATAGTTTAATTACCTAAACAATAAATTTTTTTAAAAAAAGAAAACCTAAAAAAGAAACTTAAATAAGGATAAATCCATAACATGTAATGTGTTTTGGGTAGCAAACATACCATTACCCGCTAGTCCACAGCCAAAACAATTAAATAGGCAGGAAAGAAGAAGAAAGAAGGAAAAAGTTAAAGCATTAGATTAAAACTTCTTGTAACCCAAGAGAATAGTACTTCCATTAATTTACAAGTTTAGATGTGAGTTTCGCCAACAATGTCATACCCTGGTGGAAAAAGATGACACCTAGATGAGGCTGCCATCCATATATTCTGAAAAGATGGCCATAAAGGAGATATGTCTACAAACCTTAAAGAATATGTCCCTATATAGAATTTAGGTTGGAATCCTTTCACCTGGTGTCAAGTGTGCAAGCCACTATGATCCCTGATTAATCTATGACCCCCTCTCATTAAATTACCCCATTAAAATGGGGGAAATTTTTCATTGTCATCTAGTGTGTTCTTCCCTTATCAAACATAAATAAAGAGACGCTCAAGTGCATGCATCTGTACCGAACAGCCAAATATTACATTGCTATAGGAAAAGAATGAGTTTACCATTGCTTTCATGAAGCTTCTCACAGCAAAGCAAATGCATTAGATCCATAAAGTAATCCCCAAAAATATGAAATAAAATAATGAGATATATTACATACTAACCTGAGATTCCTTTGTAGCACCAGTAATAACTGATGATGCATTTGGGTTTGCAGCACACCATGCAATTGCAAGTTGAACTAAAGATACACCAAGTTCATCTGCAATTGGCTTCAGTCCATCAACTTTCTTCAGCACATCATCAACTAGTGATCGGTTAGCAAGATTCTACACAAGAAAACAACAGTTTAGTGGGTTACTCGTGACAGACCGGGAAGGTTTTTAAAATTAGCCGCACAAAGCAGGTGTTAAGAATCCAGAAAGAAAAACAGAAGCTACATTATCAAATTTAATCCAATAATACTTGCAGCCAAGTTAGGTTGTGGAAGTTTCACAATCATCGTTAAAGATTCTAACTGAAAAAGTGAAGCAGTGCAAAATATGAAAAACCAAGTTTGCTTGAATTTTATATCCTTGGCACATGCAACTATGACTATACACTAGAGTTTTGATCTTTTTGTTCTTTTGTTGGATAAGCGACGCTAGAGCTTTGATCACAGCGTGCATGTTAGAAATGATATTTATTACAAGTGTGTGTCGTAACGTCTAGATCTGAGGATCTATCGTTAGATATTGACTTGAAGAGTCGCCACCAATCTTTATTTAGGTGCGATTGGCCATCTAAGTAATCTATCCTTTCAAGGAGCACCTAAGCTTGATTGTGAGTCCCTAAAAGAATAGGTTCGAGTATATTAACCAGAATAGGGTTTGGGAGTATGATTACGTGTGAGGAAAGTTATAGTACCCTCATAATGTCCATCGAAAGATGATATTAGCTTAATTTCGTGTTATCCAATAAGCCTTAAAAAAAATTTATCAAGTAATTAATTATTAGAAATTATTCTTAATTGACTCCAATAATTATGATAAAAAATTAAAAAATTCTCTCATCTTAAGAGTATATAAGAAAACTACTATTTTTCTTGCAGAAGCTCTATTGTCAGATTATTTAATATTAAAAATTTTTCAAGAAAAGAAAAAAAAAGAAGGAATAATGATTCAACTTTTGATATAAATAATTGATTTTATGGAAAAAAAAAAAAACTCATTGCTTCTATATAAGGAAAATTGATACTTTCAACTTTTCCTTAAAAATTTTTCTTGATAATTTTTATTTTTTAAAAAAATTGATATTTCTAACTTTTCCTCAAAATATTTTTTTTTATGAAATTTTAATTTCAAAAAAAATTAATACTTTCAACTTTTCCTCAAAATACTTTGGAAAATTTTTATTTTAGAAAATTTATTTTTAAGAAAAATTGATATTTTCAATTTTTCCTCAAAACATTTTTTAGAAATTTTATTTTTAAGAAAAATTGATATTTTCAACTTTTCTTCAAAAATATATTTTTTTAAAAAATTTTATTTTCAATAAAAATTGATACTTTCAACTTTTCTTTAAAAATGTTTTTTTTTAAATGTTTTTCTTTATTCATTTATCCATTTTTACTCATTCAAAAAAAAATTGACAAATAATTAGCAGAATGACAAAAATGGACAAAGAGTACCCAAAACAATTCGCGGCTTGGCTCCAAAAAATCATGACGGCTCGGCTTCACACAAGAAAACGGCTCGACTTGAAGCTCAAATGGTGCAAAGCTGGACTGGAACAGAAGATCAGGCTGAGCGATTGGGTCGAATCGCCCAATGTTTGACGCACAGATCCTTTAAACTGGTCAAAAAAAATTGGATTTCCTTGGCCAAAATGACACCATTTTATTGATCCTATAAAAGCCTACTCTTAAGCTTTTCTCTTCATTTTACCGTTTCTTTCTCTCTCTCTACACTTAGCTTTCTTTCTCTTTCTCTCTAAGGATAGAAAACTTCAAGAACCCAGCCTCTCAAACCGTCAGATCTTCACCAACTTTCAGTATGTGATTTCTTTTGTCAAGCTCTACGTCTTCACCGTTCAGATCTTCTAGAGGTCACGTCGATCGTTGTTTGTCACCATCACCACCAAGGAGGTTTCGGGTTTTTTTTTTCTCACTTTTTTTTTATTTTGTTTTTGATCTGTTTTGGTTTCTTCGTGTTGACTTTCATTTATAACTTTTATTGACAGGAGATGCTTGTTTGACAAGAGGCTGATGATGAAGATAGGATTGGCCGTCGATGAGGATTGGTGCTTCCACCGTCGGCATGTAAGTCGTAGCTTAGTTTTTTTAGATAGTTATTGGTAGTTAGTGGTTTAGGTTTCTAATTTGGGTTGTTTG